TTCTTTATTTCCTTCTTTCCTTCTCTGCCTTCTTCCTGCTCTCCCTTTGCCCTCACCTCCCCTCCTCCTCCCCTCCCCATCCCCCTTCTGGAGAGGTTGTGATTCATAGTCTAAACCTGAAGGGCAATACTCAGTGTTCACCAAAAAGTGACATGAAAAGCTATCTCTGGCACTGGAGTCTTCTGAACACCTGGCCTCCTCTGAACGAGAGTGTTGTAGAGGAGGAAATATCATTGGGGTTATTTTCCATGCAAGCATAAGACTCAGTGTTGAAACAAAGCATTATATATAGACTACATCTGAAGTGAATCAGGGCCTGTGTCTACAGGAAGGATTTGTGTTAGGAAATAACATCAAGGCCAATCAAAGTTGCTTTGAAGTGAATTGCTGCCTCCATTCTTACCTGATTCAAACCAGTTATTTAGTGGTAGGATGAGGTGTTTTTCCACAGTGGGCAGTGTAGGCAGCAGGCCTGGGAGATGATCCCAGGGGACTGTAAACGTAGCATGGGCTAATCCTCCCACAGACAGCACCATGGTTCTCCTAAAGCAGAAGTGGGACCCTTTTTTCTGCCAAGGGCCATTTGGGTATTTATAACATCATTTGAGGGCCATACAAATTATCAACTTTAAAATTAGCGTGGCTCAGCGGTTGAGTGTCGACCTAGGATCCAGGGGATAGGGGTTCGATTCCCGGTCAGGGCACATGCCCAGGTTGCGGGCTCGATCAATGACTCTCTCATCATTGATGTTTCTATCTCTTTCTCTCCCTCTCCCTTCCTCTCTCTGAAATCAATAAAGATGTAAAAAAATAAAATAAAATTAGGCATGAAAAAAGCTCCAGATTTATTGAATTTCTAGTCCTGCTTGCGGTTGCGTTGGCAGGGCCAGACCAAATGATTTCTCAGGCTGTATATGGTCCTTGGGCCTGATGTTCCCCACCCCTGTCGTAAAGCATGTTTGCATGTGATGTCCTGGTTCCTTATAGACAGATAAGAGCTCTACAGTGTGCTGGAGCTCTGAGTGGAGATGTCTTTTCATTGGCTACTTCATTTATTTTATTCAACAAGTGTTTATTGCACTGCTAATCCCTGAGGACCTGCTGAGGTCTTTTGCTGGGGCGGGAGTGGAGGGGACCACATACTTTTTTTTTTTAGGAATAAGGGATATATATGCAATAAGTGAATATATTTGGTTCCTTTGGTCTTTCAAGTTCAAAGGAAGGTTTACTATTGTCCATTTGGTGTCTTAAGTCCTTTGGGTTTGAAGATCATTATTAGGTTACCAAGAGCTCTGGAGAAGTCTTTGAATCGGGACCTTTCTTATGAAATCATAAGTGCTCCCTGGAGACGGGAGTGTGTTACTCTTGTGTTTGAGGACAATATAAGTAACCCTCATGACCTGAGTCTGTGTGATCCCTGAATTCCTGCAATGAATTCAGATGCCAGGTTATCAGATTTCTGTTGTTTCTGAGTTTGAGATAGTGAGTAGCAAGAACTAGAATGTTAAGGGATATCAACTTTATTTCAAAAACAGTATCTAAACTTATTCAGTGTTTGTGTTTGGATTGTGAAAGTTGGAGCAATGAGAGTTCCTTTGGCATGGGACGCTCAGATGTCCTTGGTGCTCAGGAGGGGTAGCATCTGATGCTGTGGTTTTACACAAGGCTTCATGGAGGAGGTGCACTTGGAGCCGGCTCAGACTTAGCTGGGTAGAGATGGGCGTAGGCCAGGGGTCTGTGAGCAAGGCACTGAGAGGCCTGGGTTTGAATTTGTTTACAGACTGCCCTGAAGAGTTTAGGGAGCCACCTTGAATGATGTTGTTTGTTATACCCAAGTCAGGAATGTTCTGGAAAGCCCCCAGCACTTCTGCAGTTCTTGGACTAACATAAGTGTTATTGAGGAAGCAGAGTGGTGTGAAGAGGCTGGGTGTCTCCTCATAAGAGGAAGTGTGGGTGGTGCTGGGCTAATCTTGAGGGTTCTGTGGGGGAGATGAGGAGCCTCCTCTCTCTCAGGGAGGCAGAGCAAGTGCCCGCCAGCATCAGATGGGAAAGCTTGGCTGAGATTGGAGTTAACTGCAGCCTGGACCAGAAGAACTGCTTTTCAGAGCTATGGTGTGTGTTGTGTGTTTTTTTTAAAGCCAGTTTTCAGTTATTACTCAAGTATGGAGCGCTTCTTGCCACTGACACCTCAAATTGCTTTCGAAACTTAAATTGGACTAAAGTGAGTAATTTTCACCTGGTGTTTGTCTACATTTCAGTAGATTCAGCAAGCGTTGAGTTGGGTTTGAGTAAAATGTGCCTGCAGTGTCACTATTCTTGATGAAACCAGGATGATTTAACAGTTGGAAAAATGTTAATATTTAAATTAAAGTTACCATGTTAATTAACTCTGTTGACTAAGAGCATGGGTTCAGGAAACCAACTACTTGGGTTCAAGTTACAGCTTTGTCACTCCTAGCTGTGTGATCTTGGCCACATTATCTAACCTCTCTGAGCTTCATTTCCTCATGTATAAAATAAGGTTAATGATAGTGCCCATTTCATAGAGTTTTGTGAGGTTTAAATGAGATGATAATGTAAAGTATTTAGTGTCTGATACATTGTAATAACTCAGTTTTCATAAAGGAAACAGAAAAAGACCAGATTACCCTTAGAGCTGCTGCTTATCCTGAGCTTCCTCGTGTGAAGTGAGTTTTGTATGGTAGAGTAAGGCTGTAGGGTGTAATAAAAAGAATCTTGGACGGAAGCTGGGTTCACTTCTGGTTCTGCTGCTGCCGTTGGCTAGCTGTGGGCTTTACACAAGTCACTTCAGCTCTCTGTATCTCAGTTTCCTAATCTTTGAAATGAGATGTGACATGATGATGATGATGATGAAGACAGCTAACAGGTACTGAGTGCCAGACATTGTGCTCTGTGCTTTGAACGGCTTGCATCATCACCACTGTGAGTATGTGATACAGGTGGGGAACCCTGTGTTACAGATGGGGAAACCAAAGCTAGTCCTTCTGCAGGGTTACCTAGCTATCAAAGTAAAGCTTGCCTCATGTAATAGTTCTCAATTCTGTGTGTCAGATGCTAGTAGTTCTGTAAGGTAGCTGACTCCTTTTGCATTTAATTTTCCGACTATAATTCTCTTTTGGCCAGTGCTTACTGGGTTGTCATAAGGAAAACATTGGAAAGTAAGCTTGTGATTTGAGGCTAAATTATAGTTTAAAAGCATTTCTGAATTGTCTGTATATTCTGTGGAGGTAAATAGTGGGGTTTCCCTCATCTTTATGAAATAAAATCTTATCTGAGGTGCTTTGAACTTGGGCAAGTCAGACCTGTATATGTAAATACTGCAGTGGTAGAGACCTTTTTCCCCAGAGCACTCGAATGAGGCTCTCTGCAGCCAAGCATTTGGAGGGAAGACCAGGCATGTTTTGCAGTTGGAAATACTGGCTGGCTGTAGGTTTTCCTTAAACACGCCCCTACCTGATGCCCAGGTGTTCCATGATTGTCATGTTGTTGGTCCTAGGGAGCCAGTGGGTTGAGGTTCTGCAAGCTGGGTCAGGGTTTGCTCTTTTACCTCCAACTTGCTCTTCCAAACCCTCCTTTTAGCTGCAGTATGGGGCAGGTAGTTTTTGTGTTATAATGTTGTTTGGGAGACTGACCCAAATAGAGACTTTGGTCAGTGACTTGGCAAGGGCATCGTTTGGCTCTGCTTCCCTAGCCTTGAGCTGTTGAGGTGTTCAGGCTTTCACATTTGGGGGAAAGGTGATGTGGTGACAGACAACCTGGGCAGTTGCTCAGATAATCTGCTTTCTTTCAGGGACTAAAAGTTCTGGTTTCAGGAGGCCATGAGTGTCAACAGGGCAATAGTGTACAGATTTTCCTCTGTGGAGGACTTGGAAAGTGGTCGCTGGCTGGGTGTGTACTAGGGACCGTGGAAGTGATGTGATGGTGAAGTCACTCTCTGTGCTATTGTCCTTCTTGTGGGAACTGCTGTGGGCCATCCCTGCTCTCTGATCCCAGTTAGAATATGAATCAACAAAATTGTAGCTGGAGTTCTAGCTAATCATCTGCGTATCTTTTAACCACTAAGATTTATATTTAGTGACTAATGATCTTGTGCTGGACGTGCCATCTCCCACACAAGTCCCCAGCCATCTTTTAGTAAAAAACAACAAAAACTGGCTCTGAGTAAGGACACTGACTTAAAAATAATCCTTTCCCTTTCTTTTTCTGCAGGATTTGCTCTCTTGGGATCCCATGGCTTTCTTTACTGGGCTAAGGGGTCCTTTTACCCATGTAAGCAGAGCATTCAGCCAGCGCTGTTTCAGGTAATTTTTCCCAGTAACTTTTCTCAAAGCTGCATCATTGAGTAAACCTCTCATCAGGGCTGGGTGTTATGGTGACTAGAATGGGGGTGGAAACTCAGGTGGGCTTGGGGTCAGGGAGACTGAAGAAATCAGACTGAGCTGGGGCTTGGTGAAGGCAGGTGAGGGGCAGAGATAAGGAGATGACAGTGCTGTTAGAGGCAGGATCGGGAATGGCACTTGGTGGAAGATGAAGCTTTTCAGTCCTTGCCAGACTTTAGTGAATCTGATAAATCTTGACCCTATGATTCCCCCAGTGCATTACAACCTTCTCTTTTAAAAATGGAATTATTTTTTAAAAGTTACTTACTACCAAAAACTCAAGCATGATAGGAGTGTGACAACCTTCCCTCCTTCTAGATGCTAAACCAGGGGGAGAGCATGGGCTGCATTCCTGTTGGCAAACATGCCTTTTGGCCCTGTTTGCGCACTCCTTTCACAAGCATTTACTGAGCACTGTGTCTGGGGTTGGTCAGAGAGAGACGAATAAGCGTTGCTTCCTGCCCTGAAAGAGTTCTCACAGTTGGCCATGGGAGCAAACTTGGAAACAAGTAATTCTAAGAAAATGTGACAAGTATAATAATAGAGGTTTGTATGGTGCTGGGAAGGCCTGAGACCGGAGCTGCTAATGGAGGAGGAGGGGGGGAAAGGAGAGTGGAGGCGGCCTTCCCAGAAGGGGAGAGGCTGCGAGGGTGGTGAGCTTAGAGCGCTCCAGGGCTTCCCGGCCACTGGGACGCGGAGCAGGTGTGTGCGTGGTAGGAGATGATGGACCTCAGAAGGCAGGTAAATTGGGACCAGGCTGTTGACAGTGTAGAGAGTGGAGAACTATTGAACACTTCTAAGCAGGGGAGTGGCCTCGTTTTATATTCTAAAAAGAGCTCTTGTTGGGCAGAGTGAGATGCACTGGGAACCAGCTCGGACACTAATGCAATAATCTTGATGTAAGAGAGAGAGCTGCTGAATTCAGGAAGTGCTGATGGGGTGGAGGGAGAGGGCAGAGATGCTTAGGGGTTAGTGTCAGTAGGACTTGGCAGAGGTGGATGTTGATGGAGAGGGGTGTGCGGCTTGCTATGGGAGCTTCTGGAGAAGCCATTATCTTGATATGAAATGCAGCCGCAGGAGGAGAATTGCAAGGGGAGGCAGCGAGGTCAGTGTGGGACCTCCTGAGTTTGCAGTATCTGTAGGACGTGTTGTGAGTTTAGAGTGGAAATATAGGACTAGAGTACAAGAGACAGGTGGGGCTGGAGCTAGAATTTACTAGTAGTAAGCAATGGGAATAGATAAAATTGCCCAGAGTGGGCTGGTAGAAGGAAAGGAGAGGAACTGGGATTACCCTGGAGAACATCTGCACTTAAGGTGCCAGCATCGAGAACATAGAAATCCCACTGTCATCAGATTACTTAATAATAGCTTATCTGCCTTTAATAGGTACCCATTTAAAAACAAGTTTCTAAAAATAAAATCAAAAAAGTAAAACAGATTTCTTTCTAGTGGGGAAAAATGCATTGAAACGGAAGATTGTCACCTTGACGTATTTTCAGTTTCTGCTGGGCTGTGCCAAGGACTCCCGTAGCAACCTGCTCATGCATATCTTTTGGTTCCCAGCAACATATAGATGAGAAAATTTGGGAATCAGTATATTCTGGGGGAGCAGGTTTTGCAGGCAAGGCAGTAGGTGAGGCCTGGCCCATAAGATATTCCCTTAATACTCGGAGTCCTTTTGGAAATCAGAGGCTTTAAATTAAGGCTGCCATGAAGTTTCTTTAACAGAAAATCGGGTTCTCTTTAAAACCCATCCAAGTCAAGATCTTGACCTGGTAGCAGAAGGTTTTGTCTGTGTGGAGACTGTTTTGGGTACAGAGAAGTCCTCAGAAGCACCTGCCTCTCTGTCAGAGCCCTGGGTGTCCTCTGTGCAGCATGTTGTTGCTAACATGTGCTCTCTCCCAAGCCTGGCCCTTGCAGAGGCCTCTGCACCTTGTCCAGGAGAGATACAGACCTCAGACTTTTTCTTTCCCACCAGCACCACCGGGACCCTCAGTGCAATTCAGAAGATGACTCGGGTACGTGTGGTGGACAACAGTGCTCTGGGGAACACCCCATACCACCGGCCTCCTCGTTGCATCCACGTCTATAACAAGAATGGGGTGGGCAAGGTGGGTGACCGGATCCTGCTGGCCATCAAGGGACAGAAGAAAAAGGCGCTTATCGTAGGGCATCGCATGCCTGGTCCTCGGATGACCCCCAGATTCGACTCCAATAATGTGGTCCTCATTGAGGACAATGGGAACCCTGTGGGGACCCGAATTAAGACACCCATCCCCACCAGCCTGCGCCAGAGGGAAGGCGAGTTTTCCAAGGTGCTGGCCATTGCTCAGAACTTTGTGTGAGCAGAGCCCAGGCTGCCGGCTGCAGTGGGGCTCATGAATGGAGCAGTTCCAAAAACCGAGCCCATGCTGATGAGCTGGGCGTCCCATGGCTGGGGAACAGTGTCCTGTGAGAAATAAACATTTTCACATATGTTTTCTTCCTGAGCTTTCTGGAGTATGGTTGTGAGGTAAATGGCACTGAAGCAGTTAAAAGGTGGCCAGCCCATGTCTGCCCATACAAGACGGCAGGTTTTGCATGGAGCAGCCTAGGAGCTCCTCCAGGAGCATCAAGCTCTGGAAAATGAAGGCACGGACCAAATGCCCATTTGTAAATGCACAATGGAATCTGTCCCTTCTAACCAGGCAACCCC